GCAGGTTGTGTGCACTCAGTAGTGTGCTGTCTGTATGTCAGATTGGGTGCTCTCAGTAGTGTGCTGTCTGTATGTCAGATTAAGTGCTCTCAGTAGTGTGCTGTCTGTGTGTCCGCATGTAGAAGGACAGACAGGTTAAGTGCACTCAGTAGTGTGCTGTCTGTATGTCAGCATGAAGATGTACAGGAAGGTTGAGTACTCTCAGTAGTGTGCTGTCTGTGTGTCAGCATGTATAAGCACTGGCAGGTTGAGTGCACTCATTAGTGTGCTGTCTGTGTGTCAGCATGAAGATGTACAGGAAGGTTGAGTGCTCTCAGTAGTGTGCTGTCTGTGTGTCAGCATGTATAAGCACTGGCAGGTTGAGTGCACTCAGTAGTGTGCTGTCTGTGTGGCAGCAGGTATAAGCACTGGCAGATTGAGTGCTCTCAGTAGTGTGCTGTCTGTATGTCAGATTGAGTGCTCTCAGTAGTGTGCTGTCTGTATGTCAGATTGAGTGCTCTCAGTAGTGTGCTGTCTGTATGTCAGATTGAGTGCTCTCAGTAGTGTGCTGTCTCTATGTCAGATTGGGTGCTCTCAGTAGTGTGCTGTCTGTGTGTCAGATTGAGTGCTCTCAGTAGTGTGCTGTCTCTATGTCAGATTGAATGCTCTCGGTAGTGTGCTGTCTGTATGTCAGATTGAGTGCTCTCAGTAGTGTGCTGTCTCTATGTCAGATTGAGTGCTCTCAGTAGTGTGCTGTCTGTATGTCAGATTGAATGCTCTCAGTAGTGTGCTGTCTCTGTCAGATTGAGTGCTCTCAGTAGTGTGCTGTCTGTGTGTCAGATTGAGTGCTCTCAGTAGTGTGCTGTCTGTATGTCAGATTGAATGCTCTCAGTAGTGTGCTGTCTCTATGTCAGATTGGGTGCTCTCAGTAGTGTGCTGTCTGTATGTCAGATTGAGTGCTCTCAGTAGTGTGCTGTCTGTATGTCAGATTGAGTGCTCTCAGTAGTGTGCTGTCTGTATGTCAGATTGAGTGCTCTCAGTAGTGTGCTGTCTGTGTGTCAGATTGAGTGCTCTCAGTAGTGTGCTGTCTGTGTGTCAGCATGTAGAAGGACAGACAGATTGAGTGCTCTCAGTAGTGTGCTGTCTGTGTGTCAGATTGAGTGCTCTCAGTAGTGTGCTGTCTGTATGTCAGATTGAGTGCTCTCAGTAGTGTGCTGTCTGTATGTCAGATTGAGTGCTCTCAGTAGTGTGCTGTCTGTATGTCAGATTGAGTGCTCTCAGTAGTGTGCTGTCTGTATGTCAGATTGAGTGCTCTCAGTAGTGTGCTGTCTGTGTGTCAGCATGAAGATGTACAGGAAGGTTGAGTACTCTCAGTAGTGTGCTGTCTGTGTGTCAGCAGGTATAAGCACTGGCAGGTTGAGTGCTCTCAGTAGTGTGCTGTCTGTATGTCAGATTGGGTGCTTTCAGTAGTGTGCTGTCTGTGTGTCAGGTTGAGTGCTCTCAGTAGTGTGCTGTCTGTGTGTCAGATTGAGTGCTCTCAGTAGTGTGCTGTCTGTATGTCAGATTGAGTGCTCTCAGTAGTGTGCTGTCTGTGTGTCAGATTGAGTGCTCTCAGTAGTGTGCTGTCTGTGTGTCAGATTGAGTGCTCTCAGTAGTGTGCTGTCTGTGTGTCAGATTGAGTGCTCTCAGTAGTGTGCTGTCTGTGTGTCAGATTGAGTGCTCTCAGTAGTGTACTGTCTGTATGTCAGATTGGGTGCTCTCAGTAGTGTGCTGTCTGTGTGTCAGATTGAGTGCTCTCAGTAATGTGCTGTCTGTATGTCAGATTGAGTGCTCTCAGTAGTGTGCTGTCTGTATGTCAGCATGAAGATGTACAGGAAGGTTGAGTACTCTCAGTAGTGTGCTGTCTGTGGGTCCGCATGTAGAAGGACAGACAGGTTGAGTGCACTCAGTAGTGTGCTGTCTGTGTGTCAGCAGGTATAAGCACTGGCAGATTGAGTGCTCTCAGTAGTATGCTGTCTGTATGTCAGATTGGGTGCTTTCAGTAGTGTGCTGTCTGTGTGTCAGGTTGAGTGCTCTCAGTAGTGTGCTGTCTGTGTGTCAGATTGAGTGCTCTCAGTAGTGTGCTGTCTGTATGTCAGATTGAGTGCTCTCAGTAGTGTGCTGTCTGTGTGTCAGATTGAGTGCTCTCAGTAGTGTGCTGTCTGTGTGTCAGATTGAGTGCTCTCAGTAGTGTGCTGTCTGTGTGTCAGATTGAGTGCTCTCAGTAGTGTGCTGTCTGTGTGTCAGATTGAGTGCTCTCAGTAGTGTACTGTCTGTATGTCAGATTGGGTGCTCTCAGTAGTGTGCTGTCTGTGTGTCAGATTGAGTGCTCTCAGTAATGTGCTGTCTGTATGTCAGATTGAGTGCTCTCAGTAGTGTGCTGTCTGTATGTCAGCATGAAGATGTACAGGAAGGTTGAGTACTCTCAGTAGTGTGCTGTCTGTGGGTCCGCATGTAGAAGGACAGACAGGTTGAGTGCACTCAGTAGTGTGCTGTCTGTGTGTCAGCAGGTATAAGCACTGGCAGATTGAATGCTCTCAGTAGTGTGCTGTCTGTATGTCAGATTGAGTGCTCTCAGTAGTGTGCTGTCTGTATGTCAGATTGAGTGCTCTCAGTAGTGTGCTGTCTGTGTGTCAGATTGAGTGCTCTCAGTAGTGTGCTGTCTGTATGTCAGATTGAGTGCTCTCAGTAGTGTGCTGTCTGTATGTCAGATTGAGTGCTCTCAGTAGTGTGCTGTCTGTATGTCAGATTGAGTGCTCTCAGTAGTGTGCTGTCTGTATGTCAGATTGAGTGCTCTCAGTAGTGTGCTGTCTGTATGTCAGATTGAATGCTCTCAGTAGTGTGCTGTCTGTGTGTCAGATTGAGTGCTCTCAGTAGTGTGCTGTCTGTATGTCAGATTGGGTGCTCTCAGTAGTGTGCTGTCTGTATGTCAGATTGAGTGCTCTCAGTAGTGTGCTGTCTCTATGTCAGATTGAATGCTCTCAGTAGTGTGCTGTCTCTATGTCAGATTGAGTGCTCTCAGTAGTGTGCTGTCTGTGTGTCAGATTGAGTGCTCTCAGTAGTGTGCTGTCTGTGTGTCAGATTGAGTGCTCTCAGTAGTGTGCTGTCTGTGTGTCAGATTGAGTGCTCTCAGTAGTGTGCTGTCTGTATGTCAGATTGGGTGCTCTCAGTAGTGTGCTGTCTGTGTGTCAGATTGAGTGCTCTCAGTAGTGTGCTGTCTGTATGTCAGCATGTAGAAGGACAGACAGGTTGAGTGCTCTCAGTAGTGTGCTGTCTGTGTGTCAGATTGGGTGCTCTCAGTAGTGTGCTGTCTGTATGTCAGGTTGAGTGCTCTCAGTAGTGTGCTGTCTGTGTGTCCGCAGGTATAAGCACTGGCAGGTTAAGTGCACTCAGTAGTGTGCTGTCTGTATGTCAGCATGAAGATGTACAGGAAGGTTGAGTGCTCTCAGTAGTGTGCTGTCTGTGTGTCAGCATGTATAAGCACTGGCAGGTTGAGTGCACTCATTAGTGTGCTGTCTGTGTTTCAGCATGAAGATGTACAGGAAGGTTGAGTGCTCTCAGTAGTGTGCTGTCTGTGGGTCCGCATGTAGAAGGACAGACAGGTTGAGTGCACTCAGTAGTGTGCTGTCTGTGTGTCAGCAGGTATAAGTACTGGCAGATTGAGTGCTCTCAGTAGTGTGCTGTCTGTGTGTCCGCATGTTAGAGCACTGGTTTGAGTGCTCTCAGT